GTCATGCCAAAGAGTTGGTTTATATTGTTTAATAATGTGTGATTGCATTGTGCATTTGATGAAATGAAATTTGGTCTTGTCAATGGATTAATAATAGTAGGGGGACAATATATTGCATTTTTTTACGTTAACAGCGTGGCCTATTGTAGTTGCATGTTTGAAGATAGTAAATAATAAGATGTGGTTTCAAACGAAGAAACAACTTTTTTATTTGCTTAAAAAGTAGCATAAGTTCATTAAGAACTATTTAGGTTGTTTCCCTAGCTATCTTTTAGCCTGCAGTAGAGTTTTAAAAAAAAAAAAAAAAAACACCTTGTCAAAGTTTAGAGTCGACAATGGGGTGAGTTGAGATTTTTTAGAAATGATAACTCGCCTCTTGCTTGCGGGAAAGTTGATTAGTGAGCTACTGCGTTGGCAGGCTTTCCACTGCAGCTGTGTTCTCATTATGTTGTTTACAGATCTGACAAATTAATTTCATAAAAAACAATACTACAAATTTTTAACACACCTTTTTCTTGTTTAGTTATGTGGGATGGAGACATGTTGTTGATAGACAACCCCTCACTACTCTTACAATTCTCTAGCAATAGTTTTATATTTTATAACCTACACTACTTTGGTTTGTAAAACAAATGTCTATGATTTGTGGAAATGTGTAATTATTTTGTTAGTGGGTTGATGATAGCAGATGATGATTTAAATGATGAGCTACTTGTGAAAGAAAAATGATTCGCTATGGTGCATTGGCATTCCATATTACCTCAGTTATTAAATCTAGCTGCTCTGAAACAAACTTATGAACTGCAATGTTGCATAACAATGAAAGAATATCTCACTCGGCTAGTAATCATTGGCTCTACATATGTCTACTTACTACAACGTCGATAATAATTAATTTGAAAGAAAATGTGAATGCTCTTCCTCTTGAGACTTCTCAATTGACATTAAAGGCATCCTTAACTCCAGAAATGTTGAAGATTTGAGCAAACATTACTTAGGGAATTTGTAAGTGATTAAGCCCCTCTAACCATATAGTTGGGAAATAACACTAAAGATACATTTTGCTGGTTTATCATTACAGCTGTTGAAAGACTTATTATTGGAATTTTGCGAACACTAACCAATTTTGACGTGTACAAATATAAATATAGTTGGTACTTCAGGCTCTATGTACCTGTTAGAAGTTTAGAGCAACCGCAATCAGCACATGCTATCATCTAACTACAAATGAAATGACTGTAAAGACTCATTCCAACAGATTACGGAAGTGAACCTTACCAGTGTGTCGAGACACACGCTGTATTACGGCAGACTCGAATTGACCTCTCAGTCAAGGCCAAAATCAGTGATCTTAATGACATCTTTAGAGATTAACTTTCTTCATCAGAGGAAAAATTACACATAATTCATTTAAAATGTTTAACTATGACTGCTAAAAAAAACTGGAAACTGAATAAAAATACCAATCACAGTGTGTACCTGGCCTTAGATCACTGTGGAAGTATTCACGCTGATGAATGCAAGAGAGGCCTTGAAAGCACCAATTTTGGATATCAGATTCCGCAAGAAGATTAATAGAATCATTCATAAGATACGAAACCTTCACTTCTCTCAGATTAATATATTCCTCCCAAGAGATATACTTATTGTTCATTATTTTCAACTGCTGCCTGTCCATGAAAAATTTTAGTACCCTGAAATCAAGTACAAATAGTACAGAAGACTTGATCTCTCATAAAGAAAAACTTACAACTTCACCAGTCAGTTCATTGACACCTTGCCAAACATACCAAAAGTTCCATCACCAACTTCTTTGACACAATCATACCTAAAGTTGTATATGAGATTAAAAAAAATCTAACATGAACTATATAAATCAAGGGTTCAGAAGCTAAATATGATATTTAAGAAATTCAAACCTACCTCTCCACCACCTCTACAATAAAGTATCTCATTTAGTTGATGTATATAACTTCACTTCCAGTTGTTTCTATGGTAGAAAATTCAAATTTATCCCGCTGGGTATACATGCCGTTATTTACATTGAAAATCAATCAATTTACCAGCAAGGAAAAAGAAAGACACCAAGAGAAGGCAAAACATATTAAGGACTGGAAGACGCTATAAACCAACATGAAGGAACGTTATGGGTTAGAAACCCACGCTTCACTCGAGGGGTTAGGAGACTCTAGGAAAAGACTATCAAAACTACGACATGTTTAAACTTAAAAAGATGCTTGGACATCCAGTATAAGGACTAAAACAAATTTTAAACTGTAAGGACCATGTTTAGATGAGGTCTGTAAAATACAAAGATGCTACACAAACCATCATGTTCAAAGAGTATGACGTAAAAGAACATCCATGACCTAAATATGGATTTTATAAAATCGATCATCTATTATTACTTTTACGGTGTTAATACTACTGCATCATTGTGTGCTGTTTACAATAATTATATAGAGTTGTATGAAGGCTGCCAAATGAAAACAGACCTGGAAAATTGTGATCGGGGTAACCAAGAGCATGAGTTCGTCGTAATTGCAAAACAAAAAGCTCTCCCTCAGGATGGGGTGGATAGATTCTACTAATAGCAACAGTGGCATCACCAAATCAAATTTTGGATTGCATCTTGTAGAATGAAATACTCTTAGCTCATAAAGCCCTCCTTTTTTCAAGATGTGCTGAGCCGTGAACATTGATTGATGTTTGGATTAGCGAAGACTGATGATGGGAAGTGAAATAAGATAACATCGAATTGAAAAAGTTGACAAATGAAAGCAGAAAAATGAATAACCAGTGTACCTTCCAATCGATGAGCACCATATCAACGCCTATCCACCTCACCGGCTTTCTTAACATTATTGGCCTCCCATAGACGCAGCAGGGTTTTCAAGATAATCTTCTACAATAGCCTCAACTCTGTAAAATTTTTTTTGGAAGAAGCCATGATCAGAGAGCTTGTTAGAGAAATAAAGATGAAAAAGCTCAGAGTTAATCACATATCAATGCGAGGCTGAGGCGTTACCGTGTTGAGATCGTCGTTTTGGTTTTCTGAGCTGTGGCGGCATCTCGATGGAAGAGGCAACGGAGACTACCTAAATAAATTTTTGGCCTTTAAATATTGTAGCAAAGTGAGAAAAGCAGCCAAGCCCAATAAATTTTATACCGTACCAACATGGATTTGAACAAAAAACCGGACGAAAGGCAATTGAATTAACGGATTACTCATTTGGTTAAGATGCTGATGTGTCATTTTTTGCCCTATCTCTATGCTGATGTGGCACAAGGAGAAGGGAGAAAACTTGGTTTTATTGTATAAGATTATGTTAATAATAACAGATATAGAA